ACTCCAGACTTGTGCAACCCACTTGATTGTGAAGATGTGGACTTGTATTCTAGGTGCCTCTAAGGACTTTGTCAGGTCCCCTTCTAAATGTTTTGTATTCTTATGTAGCTCTCAAGCTAGATTCCTAGTGCATCTTTCAGTTACAGTATCCCTGAAAACCTGTGGGTCGATTTGAATAGAGCTGTACATAGCAGACAACCAAGCAATCTGGTAGATTTGGAACAAGTATGCCATGAACAGTGGGTTAAAATTACACCTGAAAAGATACAAATGCTGTTCAGAGGGTATCCAAAGAGGTTGGTGGAGGTTACGGAGGACAAATAAAGTATTAAAGAACATTTCATAATGGGAAATGCAAACTTTTGCACTGATATTATTTTCATTATTTTACTTTAACTTTCTCTTTATAAACTCCCTGGCCATTTTTGTTATTTCCGTTGATGAAGGAACATTTGTACTATCTGAATATGCGTTAAATATTATGTTGATGAGAAATGTTTAACTTTTTTTTTTTTAACCATTTCAAAGTAAGGGGATGCAAATGTTTGCATTCAGCTGTATTTGTGAATAACTTGATCTGCTTTTTACATATTTAATAAAAAAAAAAAAAACAAGTATGTTAAGTGAGCTTTTGTATGTTTAACCTGCTATTTGAAAGATGTTGAGATTTGGATGGATTTGCTGTAATAAAATTAGTTTTGAGTCCATGGGAGGGTTGTTATGTCACTCCAACATGACAATTCAACAGTCAACTGATCAGGTTTAGGGGAACAGAAATATTAATTTACTATCAGTAATCTATGTATTAAACTAATGGTTTGATAGTGTTTTCCCCTATTTATATTAGAGGTAGGAGGTTGTCCTTATAGTGAAACAACATATTCCACTAAAGAGAATGTTAACAGTTAGTATTTCATTAGGTGATCTATTTAACAAACCTGCTTACATATGTTCTTCACATGTAGGCACCATTGCAAGAAGGGAAGAGATAAGTTAGCAAGGATTTTAATTAAGTAAAAGCACTACTACCACATTACAAAATATGGCTGCAAATAAATGTTCTGCATTTTAGATTTTTCAAGTGTTTTATAAGTAATATTTCAATCTGAAAAGTTAACTTGGATGTTAGTAGGATGTACAATACTTCCATCTAAATTGTAGTGGTGCAGAGTAACTAAGTACATTACTCAAGTATGGTAGTTAAGTGCAATTTGAGGTAGCTGGCAACTCTGCAGATTTTAAAAGTACTTAAAATTAGCTCCACTTTGAACAACTTACCATAAGATTGAGCCTAGATGTTAAGACATTAAAAGCCAATAATAGTAAAACATTGTTGGAGCCATTCGGTGTAATGAGTATTTTACCTTTTGATATTTCAGAGGCAATGCTTCTCTAACGTTACTTTCACCAATAAAATTTTGAACGTAGGATTTCTAATTGTAACGAACAACGTATTGAAGTAGACGTATGAAAAATCACAAAAAGCTGAGAACCTGACAAATAATGTAGACATTTACTACCTCAAAATTGCAACTGAGCTCTTGAATGTACTGTATGTAGTTCATCACTGGAAACTGTTCATTACTTTGAATGAAAAACACCCAAACACAGATAGACCGCCTGCCTCCGGTACACGCTGTTGAAAATCAAACACACCCCTTTTTAGATTGTGTAACCGCGACAAGACTGGTATTCGTGTTGGTTAGCTTTATATGAAAACCAAACGAGAGGGGTAACTTGGCATCAGGCAAGCCGCAACCTTACAGGGATGGGTTGACCAAACGTATTTAATTTTATGATGTTGTGTAAACAACAGCAGTGCCGTACATTTACTTTATTCTGTCGCTATGGCTTCCAGGAAGGTAAGAAACCCGCTTGATGTTATTTGCTAGCTAGCGTTAGCTGACTTGCTAGGCAGTTACCTAACGCTAACTTCATTGCCTAGTTAGCTTTAGCAACCCACGTTATCCGCCCACAGATGAGTTGAGTGAACCTGTCAGTCAAGTATTACTAGATTTATATTTTAAATATTAACACAACGGCACAATTAACGTTATTCAGTAGTGTTTGTGATGCATATGTTACAGTGAACCCCGGTAAAACTATCATACAGTCAGCATCAGTAAACCATCAAGCCTCTAGTTTTATTTAGTGTCGTATAGTGACGACAAACGTCTTACCTTGGGCCATCTTTCCTTTTTATTGATATTTTTGTAGCGCAAAAGGTACTGTAAGGATATAAAGTGCGTTTTCTTTCCGGATGATGCCGAAAATGGTGTCGAAAATCTTGGGAGAGGGCCATCATCACTTTCATCCGTATCTTCAGCCAGGAGTTGGGAGAAGCGTGGAGACAGTTTTTTGGACACCCCGGTGATCAAGGTAGATAAAGTGTATTTTAGCCTTCTGTGGACAGTAACAGTAGTTAGATGATAAGTGAAATGACAAGGCTGACAGAAAATTTTGTTTTTGTTGCAGAACCACAAGTCATCACGAAGGAAATTGTCTGCCATAAGAAAATCCACACAGATCCCTGCTCTAGGTAATTAGTTGTTCAGACTGATTACATTGCCCAGTGCAGTGGTTACTATGACTGAACAAATGATAAGTCACTGTAATCATATTGTGGGTTTCTTAGCATTTCAAATGAACTGCGAGCATTATAATGTCCAAACCTTTTATGAATTCTCATTTGTTTGTGCTGACCAAAAAGCTGTTTTCCTCCCTAGAGCCAGGTGTCAAATCTCAATACGTTTTTGTTACAGAATAAACGTGTTAAGATAACAAAAAATGCAGGGTGTACCCGGCCTCTCGCTCAATGTCAGCTGGGCGACCCTCTTCAGGATAAATGGGGATAACAGAAATTGTCAAGGTTCATGTTCAAGGATTTTATTGTCAATTCACCACATGTGCTGGGCATACAGAAAATTGAAGTACCGTTTCTCTGTCACCTAATATTGGGTGCCATAGCATTTAGGAACTAAAATAGAATAAAAATAGAACAGAATAAGACCTGGATTGACGTAATTGGTACAGCCAATAAACTGTGACTCAAAACAGTGTACAGTCAGTGACAGTAGTGCAAAACAATAATAGGAGATTGTCAGATGGTTCAGCATCACCAGGGTGTTGGTGATGAGGTGCAAATAGCATATGAGGTATACATAGACAGTATTGCAAATGACTAACAGCAGCAGATATCCCGGCAAAATAAACAGTCAGCAGCAGATTTACATATAATATAACAGAAGGTAAAACAGCAGAGGTAGTTTTTTTTTTTTGTTTGCTTGTTTGTTTCCACAACAGTCAGCAGCAGATTTACCTATAATATAACAAAAAGGGGGAATGTACTGAATTTGTGCAAGAGCAGGGGTAGTCTTTTTATATCTTTTTATGTTCTGTGGTGGGTTATGGTCCAGGGGGAGAGGGGGGAGGTAGTGAACAGTGTTCAACATCCTCACAGCCTGGTGAATGAAGCTGTTTGTAAGTCTGGTGGAGACTTGCAAACAGCTGAAAGCTGGCATTGACTATCTGGGCAGACTTGTGTTCATGTTTACTACTGTATGATAAATAGTCCCTGATTCAAATAGAACATTTTCAGTTTAAAATTAAGCTCCTTTTGGTTGGAATTAACGTTACTGTTTGGAAAAGTAAAAAGTAGGGCACACTCAGGAATGAAAGCTCTTGAATGCCTTTAGCTTTATGTCTGTGCATGTTTGCCCAGCTCAGACCAGCACTGTTCACATTAACGAGGAGCAAGTGCACATTGCGTGGAGCTCCAGTGACAACGAACAATCCGACGATGAGACCCAGGAGCAGCATCTTGCCAGAGCTGCGGCACTGAAGCAACAGCATCCTCAGAGACCAGGAAGACCCAAGGCTCCATTTCAGTCTTACACCAGAGCACTGCATATGCTCAGCACTGAGAAAGGTAAACATATTACTTGTGACCTGCTGATTTAGGGTGGGACATATTCTTTTGTTCTAACTGTGTTGTTTTTCTGTAACAATCGAGCTGACCTTAAGTTCTCATCAGATACTACATGTAGTGTCAGTTACCCACAATGTACAGGACAAATAAAACTGCACAGTGTGTGTCCAGCTTTACTGTTCAAAACCCAAACATATTTAACGCCACCTACGACAAATAAAAGCAGGAAATCCTTGTAAAAAGAAAATAATAAAACATTCTATAATATCAAAACAGTTGCTGATTAATTTTCCCTCAGCTGACTGATTTATAAACCCTTTGTTTCCCTTGTAATATGTTTTTATTTCTTTAGATGACCTTCCTGTAATAGACACAGACAGTGATCTGGATGAATCAGAGGAAGATGTTGAGAAGGACGATGAGCAGCAAATCTCTGACTGTGAGTCCTCTGATGAAAAGCCAAAGGACTTCCCTCTTAAACCTACAAATGTAAGTGAACTGCACTTAACTCTGATTCTTTCTGTTGCTTCAAGGTAATCATTATAACCTGCATCAGATCAAAATTAGGATCTGCATTAGTCAAAGAAACGGATGATGCACACTGGTCTGTAGGCAATATAACATCCATTTTCTCAAGGGTGTTATTTATGTTAGGTGACACTAGGTGGAGCTATACACCTTTGTACACTCCTTAGACCAATATATGACCATAGTTTTTTTTTTTTTATTAAAAGTGTTTAGTTGACTGTCAGTGTGTGCAGTTATCTAAGGAGTATACATGAGCATTAACTAGAGTCCAGAGACACACACATGCTCTGTTCACTATGTGTATTAAACCTGATGAGCTTTACTTTTAACTTGCACTGCTTGAAAGGCTTATGGCCCATGTTTTTTTTTTTCCCAATATATTGTAAAATAATTTTCAAGAATTGTGTTTTAATACAAGTCTCCACAACAGTGTTCTTTTAGTTGTTTTAACTTGTTTTCATTGTATACAAAGCCAGTACTCCACTAGGTGGAGTATTACAGCCATGTTCAAGTATCCTTAAAATGCCTGACAGGCTCAGAGCAGTGCTGCACTGTGTGCACATTCTAGATTCAGGTTATGTACCAAACTGTGAACGTTCACAAGCTGGGGCTGCAATAAAACACTGGCTGAGTGTCACATATTCACTTAGCCAAAGCAGATATTAAAATGACTGCTAATGTATGAAGATGAAACTTTTGTACCTTAATGGAGACAGAAGTTGCTTTTGATCCTCTGACACTTTGATGTGTAAAGAATTTTTAATGTATGAAAGGCAAAACACCGTAGAGCTGCAACATAGAAAAAATTCTCTATTGACTGTTGACTCATTTTTCAAGCAAAACTGCCAAACATTTGATGAGTCCAGCTTCTTAAATGTGAGCATTTCTTGCTTTGCACTTGTCTTACATTGCAGTGCACTGAATGTTTTTGGTGCTTGACATGTTTTTAAAACATTCAGTGATGTCAGTTTAGGTTAGGTTATGGAAAATGGGCATTTTTCACTGTTTACTGACAGTTTAGAAACTAACATAGGATAATAAGCAATATTGTGCCTTACTGAACACAGTTCTCTTGCTGTTTCATTAGTCTTTATGTTATCAGTGGAGCTGATCTCTTGTGGGCTCGCCTGTACTCTCTGGAGACTTGGATTGACTCTGTTTGTTAAAGGCAGGGCTGACATGAAGAGAATGTACATGGAGTACAGAGGTGGTGTATTCACGTTCAGATCCGCTCATAGATTTTAATTTGTTTCAGTCAGCACATAGTGCAAGATGTAATTGATCAGCTAGATGTGGCCAAAACAGTGAGGTGGTGTGGTTTTATAGATAGTGGTTTATGAAGATGTTCTTGGGCTGGATCACTCTGGTTTAAGCCAGTAATCATGTGCATCATCACAGTACAGTGTCATAATATGCCCACTAATACTCAGATATTCATCCTAATAAAATACATGCATTTAAGTAATCAGCATCTTGAAGCTCTGAGTTTGCAGGTTTTATGTTGAAAGGAAGCCCGTTAACAGATTAACATCACTCCCACAGACCCAGCTACTTCCTTTTGTCACAGTTTAATTTGCTGCTATCAGCTCTCTAGGGTCAAACGAGATTCAAATCACCTAACAGGACGCTTGTGGTCAGAGGCCTACTAGAAAGATGTACTCTTTGGGGTCCTAGTTTGACAATTTGATTAGTGCATATTTACTAACTCAAATAGCACTTCGCTAGCTAGCAAGTGGATTTATTATGTGCTTGTATTTATCATTATTTTTCAGTGTTATATACACACTTTATTTCATGCAAACAGCAGAATATAGAAACCAAGTTGTTGTTTTTTTTTTTCTGTCTATAAAGCTTGCTAACACACTGCCAGTTGTACATTAAACCAGATCTAACAGGATGCTGAGAGGGAAGATCTCAGTCTAAGTCAGTTTATTACTCCAGATAGATGCATGAGGTGACTCACTTGACGTATGTCTGCCAGATTTCTGTGTTATTGTACTATTGCTGAGGGCGGATAGGCGGAGCTGAGAGAGCTACTTTGCATTTTAAGGTTGAAGGGGATGGCCAATTTCCATGCTGCTCTTTCAGGGTCCTCTAACATCAGCAAGCTTAAAGGGTCAAAACATTCCCCACATTAGGTCTTTACTAGGTCAAGGTAGTGTCAACAGAGCGGGATTATAAACATCTTTATACTACTGTCTGTTCAGGAAAACATGCAAGTGAATGAGGCTGCACAGAGCTGTGTACTTACAATGATCTCAGTGCCGAGTGAAAACATTTTTGAGCCGGGGCCAGGAACATAGTGTTCCTTTTTCTCTGTTGCTGGTTAGTGTGTGACGTCTGCTGGCACGTCGCCTAGCAGGGTCAAGTTGATTCAAATAAGAGAGCATATTGGCTGACAGAGCCTGGTATGCTGGTCTTGTCTGCACATGACAGGAACTCAGGTTTCTCCTGGATTTTTCCATGAGAACCAATTCCCTCAGGTGTAGTGAGCAGTGATATAGCAAAAAAGATTGTTTTGTTTCCATTAATCTGCCTGACAGCGTGTCAGTGTACCATATCCACCCATTGTACTATTGAGTTTATTTGTTTTACTTAATCTTTAATGACTCATAATCAATGTACTAAAGGCTGAGGACATTCAAAACATTTGATATCATATACAGTGGTATATTTCCTGTCATTCATACTGCTCAAAATCATTCAAACATGGCATATTTCAGAACATTTTTTTTTTAAATTTTATTTTAAAGAGTCAGTAATTCATGATTTTATCCCTAGGTGGTGGAGCTAGAGATCTCAGGCTATGTGTCTGATGGAGAGAGTGCTGGCAACGCCTTGTCCTCGAGCAGATTGGACTCGGGGAGCTTTCCTCTCCAAACTGGTGAGGGCAGCAGCAGGTCAGTTAGTGACTGGGTCAGATCTGCCCAGGCGATGCTGCAGACACCTCAGAAAGCATTTGACAGGCCGCCCAGGACTCCAGAAGATTCTGGCAAAAAGAAAAGGAAATTTCAAAGGTTTGAGTTATGTTCTTGTTTTTAAAAATCACATTTGGGATGTACCACCACTCCCGCCTTTTCTCTTCTGATACTGCATCTCGGTATCTGCTACTTGATACCCAAATCAGTACTGGTGTGTTTACTTTTTTCAAATTTAAATTCTATATGATCCTGCATAAGTGTATCCCTACTGTATGTTACACACACTCAGTGGCCAGTTTATTTAGTACACCTGTAAATATACCAGCACAGCCACAAAATCAAACTTACAAAGATAATATTCCGTTTTTATTGACATTGTCAAAGAATGATTCATCTGACTATACTCTGATTATTGTCCAAGTTGAAGGTTTAAACTGAGCTGCATAATACTGAGAAGTGTTTCTAATATTTTGTCCACCCTGTTTACAAACACATTTCATTATAATGCATTCCAATACAACACAACCAATATACCTCTGGGACACCTTGTAACACTCCTTCAAGTTGTAACAAAAGCAGAACATTGTCATCTTCATAAATGTACAGTTAGTGGCTGCTCTGTTTTGAGCAAAGTGACTAGGTAGGGTACTGTATATCAGGTGTTGTAGTTTATTGCTTCACAATAGCATCAAAGTAGAGAGACATATTGCTTTCTGCCAGGTGACAGACTTTGGTGGCAATGTTTCCACAGCAGAACTGATGATGAAAGGGACACCTGGTGTCATGATGTGGGTGCTAAATGTCATTTCCATCTCCAAGCCCACTAAATCTGACAGATGGCTATCTGTTGTCTTCGACAGCTTGTCTGCATCAGAAAATGATTTTTTCCTTTTGAAATAAACAATTCCGCATGTGCTTTTCTTCAGGTTGTGTGTGCCGTGTGAGTTTATTACATAACATCATCTACCTTTGTGTGTTTATTTGTGTGTGTTTGCTGCACAGTGGAGGTCTGGCAGAGAGGTTGAATCGACTCCAGTGCAGACAGAGGTCAGCTATTAGCTTCTGGAGACACCAGTCCATCTCTAACACCTCAGTGACAGCAGGTAATCCACATCAGATAAACCTAAGATGTATCCAGGGTACGTCCACATCTTGCACAGGCACTTTTCTGAATCACGTCCAAGTTCAGCAGTGAACTTTGGTTTGTGAGTGGGATGAAGTCCTCCGTAAGCAGGCGTGACTTGGTTTTTACGTTGGTGATCACTGTGGCTCTGAACTGTGAACTCAAGAAGTAGGTGACAGGAAGCTGCTTGCCTGTTGTACTTTTTTTTTTTCCTTTCCACGGTGTACTAAACCACGTGTGTTCTTTTTTTGTGCTTTTAAATATCTCCATGTAATAGGACACAAGCAGAGCCCTAAAAGTGACAGTTGATTGTGGAAAAAAAAAAACACCCACCTGATCCAGGTTAATCTGTGGTCAGTTGTTGGTTTGATTGGTGTAAAGAGTTAAACAAAGGGTTAAAGTGTTTTTGTTGACTCAGCCTCATTTAAGTTTGATGTTTTTTTTTTTTGCTTAAAAACTGCTCCTGTTTATGTAGGGCTTTCAGTGCATTAAAGTCAGATGACTTTCCTCAATAACATGTTTGTTTTTTTTATATATATTAAATTCGGCAGAATGTTTTTTCATTTTAAACTGTCCTGTTTCCTGGCACATTCTTAACAATAACAGTGTTACCCAACTGGATTATACTGTTATAGGACACGTGTTTGTCTTTGTTGTAGTACTTTCGGTGTATGATGTAAGAGCACTCATACATGCACATGTAGGAGTTCTTAAGTTGTTCCCTGACATAATGCTCTGCTTACAACTTGTTACATCATTATAGGTCAAGATGTCTGCCTCAGTTTTGGCCTGCTGCCCAAGTTTCCTTTGATGATTTTGTGATCTGGGACCTAAATGCACAAATGAAGCACTTAAAAATCATTTTTGACAAATGCATTTTAACACTTGACAGCTTTTTAGCAAGTCCCTTGATGTGACCTATTATTGTATTAAGAGTCCCCCCTCTGGCCACTCTCAGGGATTGTTAACATACACAGACACTAACCTGCAATGACACTGAACTCTCATGCTGCACAGTTACAAATCAGTGCAGTCACTTTTGCACACAAAATTTAGGCTATGTGCAGCCAGGTTTCTGTCTTATCTCGTTTGGATTTATAGCTTCAGGGCATTTTCTTGTTTTGCTCTTATTAATTATCTCTGTTGCCTTTATTGTATGGGCCAAATACACAGTCATCACCGTGGTAAAATTCCACATATTTACACACTTACCCAGCAGGATTTACTCTTTCGTATCCAGCTCAGCCTGAGTCGGCTACAGCTTCATAGATATGCAGTAAAGTGTAGAAATTGTTTTTATGCTAAAAGTGAATTACTCTCATAATGCATAAGGAGTCCCATTAGAAAGTTTTCCTTCAGTTTTCTGCCTCTCTTTTCTGTATAAAAGGTGCAGTACTGGCATGGGGGGTCAGTGTTGACCCTCTAAAATGCTGCAGTGAGAGGTAGTTGTTTGTTTTTTTTTTTTTTTTTTTTTTGCTGAGATGAGTTTGCCCCACCCCCTGTATAAACGGGACAAATGTGAATGGGGTGGGCTAGAGGTCCACATGAGTCAGAGAGAGGCGCGTCGGCGAGTCAAAATGAAACATAATTAAAATGTTATTTGGTGATTAATTTTGGCTATGTTCTAAAGCAGAAATAAACACACCTACACCTTTACACAACCCTGTGGGAAGAGTTTTGTGTGATTGCAGCCAAAATGCATGCTTTTGTCTGTTCTGCTGTGCATCTTGTGTGTGTGTGTGTGTGTGTGTGTGTGTGTGTGTGTGTGTGTGTGTGCGCGCGCGCGAGAGTGGAGCCCAGACGGACACGGTTGGAACTGGATGCACAGAGTACTGTAATTCCTGATTTCCATTTATAAATATATCAAACAAAAACAGATAACAGCCCATTTGTTTTGTTTTCAAAATGAAAAGTCATTGGCTGCCAAGTACAGGGAGACCGTTGGATGTCATGAAAAGTATTACTCCTTTAATACTGGGATTCTGGCAGCTGTGTAAAATGAACACAGGAGCGGCAGTTTCCTGGCTGGTTTCATGTTCAGTGTAAAGGGGGCTTCAATAAAAAAAAAAGAAAAGCAGGTCTTGAAGAAGGGTCAACGCACACCGGCAGTTTGCCGCAATCTCCATGTAAAAGGGGCTCGTGAGAGCATGAATACAATGTTTACACACACACACTCAACATCTGTGTTGTTGTTGCTCTGCTCTCCAGTGGACAGGCCTGGCGTGCTGGTGCTGGAGGTGCTGGAGGTTCAGGAGGAATGCAACATGCAACTGGTGCACTGTGAGCACTACCAGCTGTCCACAGAGGGCCACCAATACAGCCACACTGTCTCCCAGGAGAGAGCTCGTGTGCTGGTGTTATTCAGCAGAGAGACCGCAGCCCAGCTGATTCCTTCACCTGGAGATATCATCCACATATACCCACCATGGTGAGAGGATGCAATATATGCAGAGGTCATGCTAGAAATTTTCATTGTCATTTTGACAGACAGGGTCATAAAAATTCTGTCAAAATGTATTATTACCCATCGGTTTAATTTTCATTTTTTAATGACAAGATATGGCCTGTTTAATAGCATTTAATTTTTATAATTTTTTTTAAAATAATAAATATACGGAATAAACTAATGTGCAGCCACTTTTCGTGTCAACTCGTGGCTTTTTTCCAGCAGTGACGGCGGCGGCCACTAAAAACGCTGCAGCATAAACAACCAAAAATTAACACTGCAATTTTACAATTACCATTACAATATGAATAACCCATTTACACAAAGTTTGGCTAACTGAATTGAACTGCTGCAGAGGCGATTGTCAATAGGCTTTACGTCTTCGGACAGACGATTTCTCACACCAGTTATAATTTAGATCTGAAAGCTGAACCCGTATTCTGCTGTCGCACTGGAGACTGGACTTGCCAGCTCCACTGCAGCCAAACATTTTGAAGTCAGAGAGCATTTCTCTTGGGAAGTGATTAGAAGCTGCTCTGAACATGGGATTTCCCAATCCTGAGACACTCACTTCACTGGGAGGAATCTGCAACACGCGCTCCTTCTGCACCAGAAGCGCAGCTACACCCCTCTGATCCATCCCAGACGCGCTCCGTGGCCTCCAGTCCATGGCTGTTCAACGCACTGTCAGCTCCCGAATATTGAGATGCGTTGAGTACGGTCTCAGTTGTCCTTCATCCACCGCATCAGTTCCTCTTTTTCATGAACACCATACCAATTATTGGAATTTTTAGTGGCCTTACTTCAAGTTAGGTTAGGGTAAATTGCCCTCTGTTTTCTTATCAGTCAAAATGACAGGCGGCCTTCAGATTTTTCCATTATTAAAAACATTCCGTCAATGATGTAAATATATTCGGTTGACCTAACCTCTGAATATATGTTACATGTTAGAGTCCCCCATTTTAAAAATACGGTTTGCTTATTATGACTTTACCTGAATGTTTGACCCTCACTGTGCAGAATGATGTGTGTGCAGGGTCTGATGCTTGAGGTCTGTTTTTAATATGGAAATTTGAAACATCCAGTGTGCACACACTGAGAACTGACTTTTTGGTGGAGTAGGAGACATCTTGTGTCAAGAAGTTAAACTTCTTAAATTAAAAATTTTTTGTGTATTCATGGATTTTAGATATTTAAATATACATTTTGGGGGGAAAACATAGATGCAAATTATTATTCAAAGCAGAGAGACATTTAATGATATTAAAGTGTCTTACGTAATGAGGCCGTCAGTCACATTTAGCTGTTTTTTATGGACGCACAAGAAGTTTGATTTGCATATTTTGAGCTGCACAGCAGCTGTCAGGGTCTGAAATTGGCAGCCGTTATGCACCAACTGTAGAAAAATGTTTGTGTTTGTTTTTTTTTAAGATAAAGCAAGAAGGATTATTTGTCTCTGGGGAGAGTTCTGCTGCGATTTCTGAACAATCTGACATTTAAAACGTGCCTGAAAATGGAGAAGAATGCATGTCACAAACCTAAGATGATGTCTCAAAACAACCACTGAGTCACCACTGAAATAAAAAAAAAAAACCTCCAAGGAGAAGACTCTCCCAAGCTGTTGAATGAAAATCTATTCAGCTGATTATCAAAATAGTTTTTGATTCATTTTCTGTTGACTGACTGAATAATTGTTTTAAGTTACAACAAGTTATCTGTGTTTGGCTCAGAACATGATTTAGGGTGCCATACTTCTGTGAAAACAGAATTTTATTTTGGTCTGAAGCCTTTCTTACATTTCCTTGTTTTTGTATTGGCAGGCGATCAAAAACAGCTAAAAAATACACTGTTACAAGTAGTTACCCAATACAAAACTGACTCAGTACGTGCAAAATAAAGAGTAACAGGATGTCAAAATAATGCTGAGTAGGCAATCTGAAAGATGGAATGCTACACATGAATATGTACTTTAAACATTTTGCTGCGTTATTTAAAAACAAAAAAGAAATTGTGGATGTCATACCATACTGTTCTCTGTTCCCAATAGTAAGCACTGACAGCCCAGATGTGGGGAGCAGTCCCTCCCATGCAGAGCAGTGAGGCTTAGAGGGGGGAACTGTGTGTGTTTTCACGATTGTTTAGGACTTGGATCGAGGCAGCAGAAGTTGACTGCAGCTGTTGGGAGTTTGGGTTGAGTGTGATCTGGAATATCCAGGCTGGCGGAAGCACAGGGGCCTCCTCTGCGTTCTGACGTCACGTACAGCTCCAGGGAATGCTTCACATACCTCTTCCTGGCAGTGGTTAGGTCATTTCCAGCAAGCTAGGGAAAAAACACAGGATTATTTTCTGGAGAATTTGGGAGCAGAGTGCAGGAAGCCAAAGAGCTGAGATTGAAAACACATGGTGGTTTGAGAGTATCTTTAGCTTTAGCACCTCTCCTTCCCTGTTGTGTTTTGTTCCTGAAATTACAAGATAGAGTAGAGCCTTCTTAAATCACACCCACTCTTTCAAAGAATTACATTACATGTGAGCATGCATCCATAAATCCTCTTTTGTTTGTGCAAATTACTATCAGAAGTTACTGCATTTGGTTTTTATTTGAAATGAATCAATGTTTTGACTTAATAAAAAGTCTTAAATCATAAAAAGAAACACTCATAACCAAGAAAAGCAGATGACAACCTTAAAATTCCTTGGAGAGATATCAGTTAATCTAGGTTTTACAGCTAAATAACAGGCCAACAAGGAAAAAAAACTGGAGTTTATGGCATCGGTACATCTGGTAAAACTCCATTTATGAGTTTCCTGTGTGAAACCCCCCCCCCCATCCCCCTTAATTCCAGCACTGTGTAGGTTGACTCCTCCCAGCTCCCACACCTTGTCATGAGTGGGCTGAGGCCTGAACGGAAATACCTGCAGGGATTATTCACTTGCCAGCTGTGACGCCAGCAGCCAGGGCCACTCCTTAACCTGGCTACCTGTCTGATGATGACAGCTACCCACACACCTGTTCACAATGGGGTTGCACTTCCTGTACCGGCCGTGTACCTGTTCTTGTCAGGAGTACATTCTGCTCTACTAAGACTAGACTTTGTCTGATGAATCATCTCCTCACATGTTTTACTGGCAAAAGGTGCTATCAGACTTAATCATAGTACGGGGTTTTCACAGGTCTGTTGTTCTTAAGCACTTGATCAAATGTACTTCATCAATGAATTTGGCAAAAAGGTTTTAGTTGTTAAATAACAGTAGAGTTTTACAAGTATATCACAAGCTAAGAGTGCTGAAAATGGCAGTTTAAAATTGCGTTAGGCTGACCCAGTATTTAATTTATCGTTAGCCTTTTACTGTAAGTCACCTTATGTAGCATTTGTAAGCAGTATATAAACATTTCAGTATTTTACAGTTCTAAACAAATGTCTAAGTTTTATTTAATAAGTTTAGCAACTATATAACATACAGTATAATATTAATATAAAATGTATCTTAATAGGGAAAGGTATAATTGCTGACAAATATGCATGCATTTGATTTGTAAAGGATGCAGTATTTACACAATGCCATCTAATAAGACAACAAAATGACAACAACTGTGTTTAACAGTTTTAACCAAAACTGAATATATCCTTTGCAACGGTCCCATTGGAGCACATTTTGTTTCAGCTAGGTGTAACTAAAACTAGCAGATGGGTGGACTGTATATATTGATTTGTTTTCTAAATTATCTTCTCCCTTCGTGTTTTCTTTGTACAGCCAAACAAATCATATTTTTAATCATTTAACTGTGATTGATTTCCCTGTTTCAACTGTCACCACAGGTCTGAGACAGGCTGCAACATGTATGGCAGTTCCAGTCACAGAGTGTGCTTGGCTCTGAGGGAGTGATAAGCCATCATCACACTGTTATCCATTTCACATATGGAAAAAATTAAGTCGTAACTCAAACTGAAACGCTAACAACATGCCTTCTAATTATTTGGCTGCTATTCAGGTTATTTCTTGTTAGCCTCGGTACCACCGAGGTGTGTGTTGTTTTGTGTGGATGTGCTAAACCTGACCAGAATTTTTTTTTTTTTTTAAGGAGAGGTTCAGCATCTCTTTCTTGGCACATGCATGAATGTAATCTAGGCTGGTAACGGTTAACATTTAAAGAGTAGCACAAGAGCATTTCAGGTCACATGTCAACAGCCTGTGTTTTTAGGTGTTTTTCATCAGCAAATTTTCAACTTATTTGATTGTGTGGTGTCGTGTTTTTCCACATATGATGTCACATTTGGAAAGTGTTCTCAGTGAAGTTGACTGTGTGAGGTGTTGCTTTTTCAGAACCTCAGTTACCTGGAAAATGTATCAGTTACCTCAGTAAAAGAGGACAAGTACATCCGTTATATATTTTAAGTTGCCTTGGAGGAGGGTAACATTCTTGTACTCGGTGCTGGGAGGTACACAGTGAACAGACCTGCGGAGGTGGTTGGTACCTTATCTGAGTTTGACATTCAAACAGTCTGGAGCTGTCAGCCCCCCCGTGTTTGTGCAACAGCCTATTCTATTTAATGTAAAATCTGAGTTTTTGCATCTTTTTATCAACACAATCACAGCACAAACAGTTTAATATTGCCCAACACCTTGTGAATGTTTAATATCATGCTGAATTCAAGGTTCCAAACTCAGTCCTTTGGGTCCTGCTGTAAGAGTGCAGAGTTGAGGTGTAGAATACAAAAAAACACTGAAACCGCTGCTACACCCTGTATCTAAAACTGATTGACTTTATCTCTTTGCAGGCAAAGTCTTTCTATAGAGGGCTTCAGTTGTGATATAATTCTGAACACACACTTCAGCCAGAAAGTCTTCTCTGCTTCCAAACCTGCAAACATGTCCGTCCCAAGAGGCCTGCTCTCTGCAAGGAGGTGCATGCCATATTATTTGGGTAAAACATTTGAACTGCTGGATGTATGCAGGACCACAGAGGAGAACAGTGTCCAACAGGTCTGTATGCTTTGATATCATTAGAATAAAAAATTCCTTACATTTGATTTCCAGTTCAAAATGCATAGTATTTGGCACCATATATTTTAGGGGAAAAGTTTTAAATCTTGATTTGTACCTCTTAAACTCTGTCACTCACTTTGAGCACACCTTCAATTACTATAGGACAAAAAAAAACAACCCAGCCAGTGATGCAATAATAGCTACAGTATGCCGTGTGCAGGATAATGTTCTTCTTGGTTTTAGTCATTTAGGTCTATAAAAACTATCAGCGTACACTAGGAGGCTCATTTTACTTGGCTTCTCAAGCTCTTAGTTGTTAAATCACAGATGCAACTGCTTTGCCACAGGGTTCATTGGGTTCACTTTACAGTATGATTATACAAAGGAAAATAAATGGCCTCAGTGGAGCATCCAACCCACATCAGTCAGTTGCGAGTGTATTCGGGCTTTGCTGTAGCAGTATCATAAGTTTTTAGTTTACATGAATGTTTGATTCCATAAATCTGATTATTTGTTTGCTTTGAGCACATACAAACAGTTGAATGATGTGCTGCAGCCAGTTTGTTGTTGAATTTAAGTGCCTGCACGGTTAAGGGTTGTATTAATTGCTATTGAATCTGTTATTTTCTTGATTAATATATTCATTGTTTGGTCTCTAAAATGTCAAGAAATTGTTTCAAATTTTCCAAAGCCCACTGTGACATTTTCTGATTTCTTGTTTTGCATGTCCAACAATCAAATGCCAAAAATACTCTGTTTAATGACAGGCAAGACTATAAAATAATCAATTTTTTATATTTGAAAAGCTGAAAAGAGTGAAATTTAGATATTTTTGCATAAAAATGACTGTTTAATTGATTAACAAAATTGCTAGTTTTCTGCCAGTTGGCTAATTTGTAAATCAACAAATTGTTTCCAGTGCTATACATAACTTTTGTAAAGTAAGCCTTTTTCCGTTTCCTTCCCTGCAGGATGATCTTTCTGCTGCTCTCAGTAGTTTTAGAGGTTCAGGAGTTTTGAAAAAACACTGCCTATCTCTCCTGGAAGCTATTGAAGGACTGGGCCAGGCTGGCTCTGTGGGGCAGGATGTGGAGGTGGTGGTCCAGAGGGTTTACTCCATTCCTCTGCCTGACAGCTCTCCTGTGTCAATCTTCAAGCCCAGAGTCCCCTCCAGATCTTTCGCAGCTCCTCCTGCTCCTGTAGAGAAAGGGAAAACCAGGTACTGTTGGACAAGCTGGTAATTGGCAGCCCAGCGAGGCCTTTGGTTTGTCACTTAATGCCAAGAGAGACATAAAAAAATGAATCACATTTTATCTGCGGTGTATGTTTGTCTCTCACAATATAAATTTCTCAGTTTGTTAAAATTGAATGCCGGTTTCCTTAGTCTCAGGCCTTGCATACTTTGCCTTGGTGACACAGTGTATCTCAGTGGTTGAGCTATTGTTCATAGCGCAGCAGGCTCCACAAAGTGCTCACGTCGTCTCCAACCATATGGCATTGCTTGACAAAGGACACAAACATTTCTAATTGAATCCAGCTCCTCTGTGAGCCAACTGTCAAGAAAGACAGCATGATGTTTTCAGAATCTCGTGAACCAGGAAGCCAAAGTTGAAGTGGTGCCCACTCGCACTCCACTGGTTGGAACATGTTTGCAATAGATTTTTTTTTTTTACCTTAATGCTCTAATGAAAACCACCTGAATATTTTATATGGATGTAAAAATGTCAATTCTTTTAGTCTAAGCATTACAAAAATGTACAGTTGTGTGTAATAGAGTCAGATTTCTTCTAGCTTTGGTTTGGTTGAAAGTAGAGCTGGTATTTTTTATTAACATTCACTGAAAAAAAAGAATTTATGGAGCTGAAACAATTAGTGGATTAAGTGTTTGTTTTTCTTCTGATTCTTCAGAAAATTATTTGCTGCTGTTTTGATAATCGAATAATAGTTGAAGACACTTTTAAGCAAAAACAGCCAAACAATTCTCTGGTTCCAGCTTCTCAAATGTGACTATTCTTAAGGCCTTTCTTTGTCATGCTTGAAAGTAAACTGCCTGTGTTAGACTAGCAGGGTGTACCCCGTGTCTCGCCCAGTGTCAGTTGGGATCGGCTCCAGCCCTCCACTACCCCCCACTGGATAAGCAGTGAAGCTGATATCTTTGGGGTGATTGGATAAAACGAGGCCAGAAGACGACATCACTGTGGGCTCTATTTATAGACCCAACGATTAGCTGAGAAATTGAGCAGTAGAAATTCACTTTTATTTTAAAACTGCATTCACCTTATACATGTGGCACATTTGTTAGCAAACAGTTGCTTATTTACACATCCCACATTTATTTTGCTGTGGGATATCTGTCTCTTTGTGTTACCTATGTATCTGCGTTATATTTCACTTGTATTGTGTGGCGTTCGTGTGGACGGCAAAGTAAGAATTTCATTGTACAGGGAAACACATTTCCTCACAGTGCGTATGACAATAAACCCTTGACCTTGACCTCTTTAGCTTCTAAATGTTCTGCTATGTTCACCAGCTAGTCTCTAAGAGTGTGTTGTCTGCTGTGCGGTGCTGGGCAGGTATTGTGTAGTATCAGGGATTATCGTTTAAAATGGCTGCCTACTGTGACTAAAAATGGTACAGATGAGAGTGATTGCAGTGAACCACAAAAGTAAATTTTTGGATCAGAAAACCAACATAATGAGCCAGAAGACTAAAATACTCTGTAGAGCTCATGGGAACTGCAGAGTTGGCTGATAATGATGTGTGGGTTTGTCACGATGAGCAACACCTTTGACATTTTATCTGGTTATTTTTCCATTCTTGATATAAAAAGTATTTTTAGTGCAGCATTAAATATGTCAAATTATTGATCCTCGTTTGATAAACCAAGTCCACATTGGACTGTCTCTGTTCAGGGCGTCCTGTGTTATTGAAAAGACTTAGAGTTGTACTCGAATGGTCTTGTTGCAGTTAATAAATCAGTGAATGTTCTATTTGAAGCACATCCAGTAAGCATGACCTTTAGTTGCCTGGCCCTCCCCGGGCTTGTTGTTTTTGTCCTTTGCTTAGTAATAGAAGAAAAGTATTGGTCACAGTTAGTGGAGGGGCCCATGTGGTGAAGGAAGGAGAGCCCTGGTCAGCTGACAAGCTAAGTGACTAAATGACCGCAGTCGTAACATGACACTTGCTCCTGCCATGCTGTTTCTGCAGCTGGTAAACAAACGCCACCCTCTGACCGGAAACTGTCCCTCCCTTTCCTCCATTTCTATCTAACTCTACCAGATTCAACAGGCTTGGCTGGTAGTGAAAGGATGGAGGTGGAGCAGAGGTTAGGAGGCGATCACGAGGCTTGAGTTTAGAATATCAGGGTGACAGATTTAAACGTTACCTAGAGAGTCATATTTTAAATATAAGCCCTCAGTGTGTTATTTGTCCAGCCTATTCGTTTTATTGTAATTTTTCAACATGCTTTTTCTATAACTATGGTTCTAAAATAAAATAACTCTTTTTTTTAATTTTATTTATTGCTTTCATGACTTTCCCACGTGAAGCTTTGGACTGAATTGCTACACAGAAATAACATTTGGTACATGGTATTGCTTGTACTGTTTTTCCACGATGCATGCCTCTCTGTTGAGAGCAGCAGGGAAGTTTACTGCGCAGCTCACTGGCTTCATTCTGTATAAAAGACAAGGACAGCTTGTACGTCTCATGTTGTGTCCCAGCCTGTGTGACTCACTCCCTGGTCAGTGTGCTTATTTGATCCTTTTGTTGTTTAAGCTTTGTGTTAACACACACAGGGGACCGTGGCCAGTATGATATTTATGCCTGAAGAAGATGTTAAGTTCCCGTAAATTTGGGGTAGAATAAACAAGAAGATTAACTGTTTGCAGGAAGTGAGGAGAGGCTAGTTGATTTCATTATTTTTTTTTCTTGGTGGAGAAGGAACACAATGTGCTGCAAGGATCCTGTTACAACCGTGTTTATCACTCTGCCTTCACTGATTGGTGCAGAACACATAGGAAGGAATCCCGCCTCTCTATCCTCCCCACCAATGAGTTCCCTCTGCTGTATTCTTAATGTGCAGGTCGCTTACTTATGTGTTGCCAAGTAATGTGATTATGCATGGGTGTGCATGTGCACACAGTGTGACTGTGTGTGTGAACGAGTATGTGTGTTTGCAAAGACTCAGTGGATCACAGTTCCAGGAAGAAAACCTGACTTGCTGAGAAATTTCTGCGATCTCTCACAATAACAAAATTCTGAAAACGGCCTGTAACTAGAATGGGCCAATGGCAGAGGAGTTTTGGGACTGAGAGGTTGCTGTTTGAGGAAGCAGGGCTGTAAACGGCCATACAGAGGGCCCGAATAGAGTGGTGATTGTTTATATCAAGCCAATTCCATCATGAGACTCATCACCCTTCTCTTATCTAGCTATCTGTCAAGTATCCTATCAGATTTCACACCAAGTTTTTTTTTTTCTTCAAGCACCACTAGAAGTATATTTACACTAAAAACACTAGCAGCTGTATTCATATTTTACACAGTCATATTGTTTAGTTTTAATATCTTATTATTGTCATAAACCCTCGTTTCCCTTTTAGATGATCCAATCTTTCACAAGGATCAAGTGCAGCATATGTAGCAGTATTTTTCTTTTTTTTTTTACCACATTTCATATTTTAAACAAATATTTAATGTGTTTAAAGACAAAAATGACAAATTGTTCCAACTAACAAGTATTGTGTATTTTCTAAGACAGATTTATTGTAATCCTCTGTACCATAGAGCTCCACTGTTGTCCAAAAACTATTAAAAGTGCATGATCCTTCATTATGATGGACATGGGCTTTGTAGTTTATTGTGAGTTATACAGTGTCCTGCTCACTAGATGGCTGGTTTTGGTCTTTGCATGGGATTTATTGATGAGAAAAATCTAAAGTATTGCTTATTTAGTTATTAAGACATTCCGCCAAGTTAAGGTGTAGCTATTTCCCTGGTCTACATGCACTGTGAACAGTTTCATTAATAATATTGATATATTGTCTTGTTCAAAAAAGTTGATTCTTAGAAAACGACTCAGAATTGTTTAGTGGAGAAAATTATTTGATTTATTCACTTCTCAGAATTTCACAAGTCATTTATAAAGCAAAAAAAAAAAAAAAGTTTAACCTTAGCCGGTTCATTTATTTTTAATGACAGGGCTCAGTGTAGGACACTAACTTTACTCAGTCCAGGTGTCGTACAGCAAGTGTTATTTCTTTGTTTTGAAAGAATGTGTTTGCCTGTTCAGGATTGACACATTTCTTGATGCATTTTCTTGTCTTGACTTGACAAAGTGCCCCACTTGTCAATAACTGATTTTGCTCTTTGCAGTGGTAAATACCCTCTATATATGGAAAGTGGACTGGGATCTGTTCACTTTGAACATGCATTAAAGTTTTCCGCTCCATAAGTATAAAACCTTCGCTAAACAATATTTGTCCTAGTTTTGTATGGTGAGCAGTCCTTGTTTTAACAAGATGTTATATGGGTCTGATTTTGGATTGTTGAATTAAGCAAACAACTGAGAATAACACTGGTTAAAACGTCTGTCTACACCGCCAAAAGTCATGTTAGGAATGTTATTTAGTTATCTATTTCCAGGTCTCGCAAAACAAACAAAGACAAACCCTATGTTTACCAACAGAAGACATTTATAGGCCCAATCAGGTGGTTGAAAACCATCTGAAAACTTCCCCAGTATCTGGGATGTGCGCATGCATGCACATGCTCTTTCTCTCCTTTTTTTTTTTCCTTCCTCCTTCCTCTTCTTCTTCTGTGGCCGTTGCTTTTCTAACCAGGGGATATGAACTGCACTGTTTACTCTCAGGGCTGTGTCTGGGCTTGACTTGGATACTGCAGCCTATAGCTGTTCAGACTATACTCTCACTGGGAATAACAGTTCACTGCCGCACAACTTTCTAGGCCAAAGGTCTTTTCTGTCAGCGGCAGCCTGTCCAACCAGCCATAAGCAGTAACACTTCCAAATGTCAGTACTAAGCTTGTACTGTGTGTCACTGGGAGCAGTGGTGTTTCATTCCTATAATTGCTTAATTGTATTAATGGATCGTTATTTTTCATTTAGAGAAGGATTGGTTTATCTCATTAAAAATGCTAATATTATGAATGAATCTGATGATTATAATAGTATTTTCAACACAAATATGTATGTGAGTATTTGCAGCAGAACCATTTATTTATCGTGTTGTCTAAGTATTTGTAGATGAGTTTAGTGTTCCTCTTGAGGGTGCCTATTAAAAATTGTACATCCAGCCCCACTAAGATACAGGTGGACAGAAGCAGCAACAGTCTCAAATAATAAGACCCTAAAGGTCCAAATGCAGCCTCATTATATTTTCTAGAATTTGTAATACTCACATATACAGTATGTGCAGGTTACCACACTTTTTTTTTATTTTCATGATGAAAATAATTATACCTTGTATATGTTTGGTGACACATATTTGGATGAAAATAATTTTAATCTTCAGATTTTTTTGAAAAATCCAGGTATTTTTCTGTCAAAGTAGATTAAAACAAAAATTAGTAATAATAAAATAATGATCCTCGTACATTTACAGGTCCCTTGCAGAGTTTTGACCAGCAGCAGTGCTGCGGTGCAGTATTTTTACAAGTGGTTTTCAGTAGTTTTCTGCTTGAGGAAGCTGGTACTGGCATGCACATTGCTGAAACTTCTTTCACACTGTTCTGCTACTCAGTGTTTGGAGACAGTAGCACAAGAATGCAAACTAGTAAACAAAAAAACGATTTGAAAATCATCCAAAAATTGTCTATGCAAATGTGTCATTAAAAATACACGCTCAGTGTAAATAACTTTTGTCTGTTTACTCTACTGGGCGTTTTTAACGTGACTAATAAATCAGTAGTCACTGTATTGGTTTAATTTTTTTTTTTTCTGCATGGTGTTTGTTCTTTTGTATTTCCCTAGACTGTGTGTTCTTGTCCAGGACAGTTACGGGACATTCAGCGTGGTCCAGCTCCATATCCTGCCCTCTAAGGACGACCTCCACAAGTACTGCGAGTTGTGGCAGGGGAAGACCTGTGTGTTAAGAGGCATTAAAGTGGTTCAGCGGGTTACTCGAGAAAGGTGAGACCACACACCCCTTTGTCCCTACGAGCTAGATGGCGATAACTTTTAACCTAAATTTCATTTCACAACCATGGGTAAACTGACCAGTACCAATCTGCGATATGGATTTCTGCTATGTGTGAGGTTATCTTATCTTATCTTGCTCTTTAGCCATCTGGCAAAGCAGCCCTGGATCAATGCCTGTGATAGACAGATCCTTGTATGAAATGCTAGTGAGGTAGCTTTAGGATTTTGTACTTCAGAGCCTCTGAGCCTTAAACTAAACCATCAAACACACTGGCTTTAATGCCAGTGTGAATGTTTGAATCTCCAATATTGTAAACTACAGCAAATTCCCAGTTTTTGTCACTGGATGCCCTCTTTATACATTAATACCTAGGGACAGGATAATCAAAATTCAATATATCACAGTAGAAAAATGTCACTATGTATCGTTTTGTTTAGCGATATACTATATTGTATGGCCTCCATATACCAGCAACTTCATATTTTTTGTGAATAATAACAGAACATAAGTCAACATATCTGGTTCCTCTTTATATATTCAGACCGGTACTAGAAAGGGGGTTATTCCACAGCTAGTCGCACATTGTTGTCATTGAATTTTTAATTAAGTGATTGAACCGAATCATACACATCGTGTTGAGAAAAAGTCTTCTCGTCCCATCCCTATCAATACATGCATTTACACTACAATGAGAATTTAGTGTTTGCAGCTCATTTGAACATGATTGTGCTGTCCTGCCAGCAGTGCCACTGTGTTTACATGTAAAATGATACTGAGGTGCACACTCTGTGTCCCTTGTGAGTTTCCATAGTCAGGGTCCCAGATTAGAAGCAGTTAAAAGAACTGACATGGGAACATCTAGAGACCTGCTGGGGGTATATTTACATGCTTGGTATTTTGAATGCCGCCGCAGCCTATAATGTCTCTGGAGGTTGTCTGTGGTCAAACTGTGATGGATGGGCTATCTTCAGTGCTTGCACATGGGCCACATTATTAGTTCAAGCAGAAAAACACATGGGCCTGGTTGGGATAATTTGAGAATTCATTTATTTTCAGGTTAGAAATGGTGACTGTTGGACTTCTAAGCATGTCCTAATAATCCATACCTTTACCTTCCTCTGACTTTTGAGAAAATGTACTTATTCACTTTGTTTTGGAAGAGTGATAAGAAGGTTGGATCCACTCATGTCTTTCTGTTAAATATGAAGCTATAGGCAGCAACTGCAGCTGGCTTAGCTTAGCATAATGACTGAAAACAGGGACAAACAGCTAGCCTGGCACTGTCCAATGATAAAATTATCTACCTACCAGCACCGGTGAGGTCACGTTCAGACCAACCTAAACACTATGTCGAGACATAAAACATCCTCATTGTTTTGAATGGGGTGTAGTGCTTCTGTCAGCAAAGCTGAATCTGCCTCAGCTTTTGTCACAAACCAGCAGCAGTGGAAGAAGTACTCCGATTATTTAAGTAAAGGTAACGGTACCACAATGTAAAAATATTCTGTTACAAGTAAAAGTCATGCATGCAAAGTCAATGTATGAATTAGCAGAAAATGAAAATACTCAAGTACAAATACCTCAAAACTGTACTTAAGTACAGAACTTACTGACTAAATGTACTTAATTACTTTCCACAACTACAAATCAATCCCCACTGTCTAAAAACTATAATACAAAATAAAATGGTAGTTTAATGTGATTCTTCTACTATTTATCCAGCAGTCATCACAGTGAAAAATAAAATTGTCATGGTGAAAACTATGCAGCGTTATCTGCTTTTAGCTACATTGTGTTTTGGCATCTGCTAAACTTTCAAGCTCAAACTGGACTTTCTGGCTCACATTTGACTGTCACACCAGTGCCTGAAGCTGCATACCCCCACCAATGCAGCCCCAGGTTTTAACACAAGGCTGTTTGTAATCTGAAGGTCCACTGAGGTTCAATGATTAACTTCACAATGATGGTAAGACTTCACAAAGTCACCACACCCAGGCGAAGAAATAGCAAAGCACAACTTAAATAGAAAAACTGCAACTTCAGTTTCAGTACAGATTAAACAAACTTATCATTTTAACATTAGAAAGACGTTACAGAAGATTCATAACCAATAGATTTGTTAAGTAAGTTGTGAAGCAGTAACGCTGAAAAGCAAAAAAAAGAAAAACATCCCAAATGTTTAACACTTTAAAATGAATCTGCAGTCATTGCAATAATCTATCAATTGCCCTTGTTCTCTAGCTTCAGCTTCACAACTACCTCCCCTGGCCCATGCAACTAGTACCAGAGTATCTTTGTTTGTAAACAGACTACACCTGTGTGCCTGCTGTGCCCTGTCAGAAGAACAGTGGTGAGGAGGAGTGATTTGCATAGGATGCAGCATGTTCTTTGTTGTGTGCCAACAAAATAGAAAGTTGTACCTGTACTGATTATGCTAATCCAGTCCTCAGAGCTTTACAACAGTGGAGGGAGAGGTTTGAACTAGAAGCAACTACCACAAACCACAGCTTGAAGCAGTAAAACAAAAGGTACATTAACATTTGCAAAACAAGTATATAAGCTCAGAATGAAATCACAGTATGTTGAATGTTAGTTAGTTAGTTACTCATGCTTGA